CAGCTCCAGGGGGGCGGTTTAGTGAGGAGAGCGAGGGGGTTTCCTGGCAGATCGGCTCCGGGAGGAGATGCTGAGCCTGCTCGGGGCCCTTCCCCAGCCCCGCCAAGGCCCCCGGAGGGGGAAGCGCGGCGGCGCTGGGGCCGCCCGGCAAGGGCCGCGGGCGGCTCTGGGCCCTCAGGGGAGGCCTTGCCCGCGGGAGCCTCGCCTCGCCTCTGCGGTGTGACAGTCCGGCGGGAGCATGGCCTGTCCCCTGTCACCAGGCCAGCCCTGCCTTCAGAAACGTCATGATGAGGGGAGGCTGGCGTCCCAAACGCGGGGCTCCAGCCCCGAGGGGCCTGCGGCAGCAAATGGCACCGGAGGGCGTGGGCAGCGCTCCAGGGCTTCTCGGGGGATAGTAAGAGCTGGGGGTGTGAAGTCTCAGTATTAGGCTCTTTAGTAACGATGTTGTTTATTTGTACGGCGCTTCTCTAGCAGTGGTTTTGTAAGGGCTTGGTTTGTTGACTTAAAAGCAGTTAATTCTGACGTCCACTGGTGTGAGAGAAGCAGAGGCAGTTGGCAGTACCTTGCCAGGGCTCCCTGGAGCTCAGTCCCCTGGGCTGCCAGTGCAGGAGCTTATCTAGAGAAAGTCACTTTAGTTAGTGGGAATAAGCAGCTTACCACTAAACTTTGTTTTATTTGGGAGGAGCATCTGGGAGGCTTCCAGGAGTTGCAAAGACAACTGCCATGTACTTCTCTTTGCTGAGGTGGTCAAAGTGCAGTCCAAAGCTAATGAAGTCCCTTGTCTGCTTTTCCCTTTACCGTGAATAGGGGTGCTAGCAGAGGAGAAACTCCTTGAGATTTCTGTTACCATTTTATGTTGTTGGCAGTGTTTCTGTTTTGATGTAATACTTGGACTTTTGCTATGTTGAAAGGTTTCCTAGTAGTCTGAAAAGCTCAAGCTCCCACTCCAGTGAATTTTGTTCCTTTCTACAGTGGGAGCAAGGCTGAGGTGCAGATCGGGCACCCATTAAGTTAATGTCAATTTCTGCTGGTTTCAAGGCATGGTGCTTCACTTCTAGGGACTGAGCTGTTAACCGGTCCCTCGCTTACTCTCTTCCTCAGATTTCATCCTGTTATGTTAGGGGATTTTCTTTTTGTGGTCATGAAACTCAATTTGTTAGAAATACAGTGAAGTCACAAGGGCAGTATTGCTAGAAACCCAGATGAATGCACTGATCACTCAAGGAAGGGAGGTGCCCTTGGTATTTTTTTTCCTTCCATTAATGGTTGTGTGTTGCTGGGGAGGAGAAGAAAAGAGAATAAAAGGATCTTCTCATCTTTACATAGTTTGTATTGCCATGTAGTCAGAAGAGAAGTGTGGTATTGAATACTAAAGCAATAATTTTGACTGTAATGAATCCTTGTCAAACAATCAAATTTCTTGTCCTGTGTGTAGGTTATTTTTTAGTCCTTGGAAATAAACTTCAGGAAAAATTTAAATAATGCATAGTTGTGGCATATCGTACATTTCTGTAATGGATAATAGTTGCCAATACCAACATCTTATGGCATATCTTTAGATTTGTAATGCTACTTTTTTGGTTTGTGTTTCAGAGAATGCAGATGGTAAATATATTTCCCCATTTCATGACATTCCACTGTTTGCTGGATCTAAAGAGGTATGTGTTTATACCTTGAAACACAATTAATTTCAAAGCGATAACAATTTTGTTGGTTTTAATGCAGGTTTTAAAAGCATTTTTAAAGCAATTAACAAGCAAATGTGTAGCACCAGAAAGGACCATTTTAACCCAGGCTGATTCTTTATGTAATACAGGCATGATAACTCTGCCAAATTTTCTCTGCTGAGTTCAGCAACTTGCAGTGAAATGTAATGATTACTATGTAGAGAAGCCTAGGTGTCTCTCTCAGTCTCCAAATGATTGAGGGCAGGGGGGAACCCTCACTGTGTCTTGTTCTCCTCTGTTTAAGGTTTGTGTTTATATGCTCTGGAATTCATTTTCTACTATTAGTCTTTTTAAAGTGGCGTTTTTCTACATCTGTGATTAAAAGCGTACAGCACACACTTAAGTAACTTTGGTTGTATTTCTTTAATTCCCAAAAGGGACATGATAATTGAAAGCCAACAACAATGCCCAGGGGAGAAGTGATAATTGCACCTTTGGAGAATTCCGAGGCGTGAGGTGCAGCTGAGCACTTTCACGTCTTGTTAGCCACACTCCCTGGAGTTTCATTGTAGCGATAGTGAAACGCCTGTTTTATGTGTCACCCGTGGGAACTGCCAGTCTCTGGTTTGGACTTAGGTTTGCTTATTATGGTATGCTTATTGCACAAACAAGTTGGGAGGGTTTTGGCCATTTTCTTGATTTGTTGCTGGGTCTCTATGGAAGATATGAGTGGTGAGAAAGTTCAGCAGTTGTAATGTGTTCAGATTGGGACTTCAGAACTAATGAACCAATATCTTGAATTATTTAAAATGAGAGATTAAAAATATGCATGAAACCTGTTTGATCAGCAGACCCTAAGTGTATTAGTCAGTGGAACAGGTAAGTCTCTTTCAGAGGATCATTACTAAGATGCTCAGTTCAGTGGGTAATATAGCTGGAAAAGCAATGGGCATTTTCATCACACGTTACCTGGGGGCCTTGCTGCCCCTGCATCTAGAGTTTATGGTTTGGAGGGGTGGATTATAGGCTGTGATTTTCCTGTAGGTTGAATTGTGGTATGGCGACGTCTGAAAGGGGACCATTGTGAAGGTCTCTGTTAATTTTGCTTTCTTTGCAAGAGGACAACATGAGGAGTTGTATGTTACATTCTTTCTCTCCCCTGCTCTAAGCTTTGGGGACTTTATTTTATGATGGTTACGATGTCTGGTTAACTCCAGCCTTATTTTCTGCACTGGTTTTGTTTGGTTTTTATCTTTCCAGCTGGACAGAAGGATGGCTGTATTTTTAATGAGTTGAGGACAGGGCTAAATTGCTGCTTAAATTTTTTAGTAGCTGTGAGAAAGTGGATGTGTCCTTGCACGTTTTTACCTTCCCCTGTTAACATCTGGAAGGTTATAATTTCACAGTGAAACAGGACCGAGTACTTACTTTTAAAAGTTATAGTTTAGGCCTTTATGCTCAAGAAGAGATGTTTCAGTTGCGTTGAAAACTACTGTTGTCTGTATTTATGTGAAGACAGTATTGCTCTCTAATGTTCTTTATACACTTTACTTCACTCTTTCTTTCCCTGTAGGATAAAGAGATTCCTGCAAAGAGGTCAAAAACTACTGGAAGTGAGGTATTGCTAAGGTTATTTTTTTTTTACTATTCACTCTATTGCCTTTCCAGCATTGCTTCATTATTCTGCAGAGTGAACTTGCTCTCATTGAATATAGTTTACATCTCTTCTAATGCAAGTCTTTAGGAAGAGAAAGCTTAAGGATTTAATATTCTCCTCTTTGAATGGGCCAGAAATGTCAGCATTCTTTTATTCATCAAGATGTTCTCAAAGGCAAACACTCATGTGACGCTCATTGAAAGGTTTGTTGTGACTATTGCAGTGTAGGTATCTTAACTTTTTGGCTCTTGCATTCAGAAACATTTGCAAAAAACCCTCTGTTAATGAAGTAGTAATTATGCTCTGACTGTGGACAATCTTTGGTATGTAATTAAATCGTAAGTATGGTAGGGGAGAAATTAGACCTGGTATCTGCTTTTTAGAGCTGCAGATGTGTTGTTTTTGGTACCTGTCTGGGAAGCCCAAGGAGAGAAAATCACATCTGCTAAAGGTTCAGCATTAACCAGCTCTCAAACCTAACAAAAACCCAAAAAACCATGAAAAGTCTGCTCAGGCTTTTTCTGTGAAACAAGATTTGTTTATGTAAGTGTCTTTTAAAAAATGTAGCATTTTTTGCAGTGCTTTCCCTGGCATAGGAGTACCTAAAAATTAGCGGAAGAAAGTGAAAGAAAAAGGAGCAAACTATGCTTTAACGCCGTGATGTTTCTATGTGTGTCCCAACCTTTATCTTCTGAGTATCTGTTTGACTAGTCATATTGCAAAACTGTAACTACCCATCTGATGTGAAAGAACTGCCCTAACTGTCTGGGTTCTCATAGTTTTGCAAGTAGGGCTTCATCTACACTGGTTCATCTACTGTACAGCAGCCCCCACACAATCCTGTACTATGTGTATCCTCTCCCTTTGCCCTGTGATTCATTTAAGCTACAATGCCTAGGTAATGCTTTTTAGTTTTCCTGTTGCTTGTTGCCCATTTATGTACTATTTAGTAGACGTTGAATCATGCCTGAAAGAGGAATTGTTGAGGAGAAAGAGTATGTGCCAGTAGCCTTCCTCAAAAATCATTGGTTTGCAACATAGATTTTTAATTACTGCTCTTGCTGAAAGTCAAATGTTCTTTCTTACCTGTTTATGAATACTGTGACAGTACCTGCTGGTTGCAAAGATGCAAAGCTTGTTTTATGCAGTGTCTAAAACTGTTCAAAACTGCGTTTGTCTGTGTAGTGGGAAGCATGATAGCTTGTTGAAAACCACCTTTCTAGTGCTCTTTTTCTGATCTCTGGGTCAGCCTATGGAGTGGTGGAAAAAATGCTAGTGAGGCTGAGCAGCTCTTGCTTCCTACACCAGTGTAGACTCCAGAGCTGTTTCACATAACTCCTGCTATGAGAGAGCTCTGGACTGTGGTTTAGTAGAACTATGGAAAATGAGCAAAGGCAAATGTGTGTTCCAGTCTTTGTGGGCTTCTGATGTGAGTAATCAAACAAATGTGGAGGCTACAGGCTTCCCAGACGTGCTTGGTCTTTAGTTATATGGTGAAATGCAAGAATACAAATCATTTGGAAAACTTTTTTCATCATCTTCTTTGGGAGTTGGAGAGAAGAGAGAAAATAGAGGGATCTTTGTGTTCAGGAAAGCAGTTTCTTCTTATCCTAGGCTTTTCACCAGCTTTACTCACCTTAGCCTGGTGAGAAATGCCTCCCTGTGTGCTTGTATATAGGGAAAACAGCTTAATCAAGAGATAAAGGAAAAATGAGGAATTTAATGCCATGTACTGGTTACTGAAGACCTTTGAAGCACTGTACCCCTTACTCTTGTCTGGGGATGCAACGGTTACTATTGATACCTGGTGTTCAGTTGATCCTTGCACTGAATTTGGACAGAATTCAAAGGTGATAGTTCCTCTTGCTCTGGAAACACAGTGGCATCTTTAAAACTTGTGCTTTTAGGGTGGCAGTCATTTGTTACTCTCGACAAGGGCAAGCCCTCTTAAGAGTGAGTGTTAAGTTCTGCTGAACTGGTCTTCATCAGATGGCTGTTTAGCTATGGAAAGTGGAGGTAATTCTGCACGAGTC